TCACCGAATACCAACATTCCTGGCTTCTTTGGCCCAGCTCAAGACCGCCAGGAGTCAGAGAGTATGTCTGGTCGGTGTAGGCATGTGACGTCATTAGGGATATCCTTGGAGAACCATGACATGATCTAATTACGAGTTGATTCTTCAGAGGAGACACATTGATTACGTCACACCAGATCAGAAACTGCGACAACTTGGTGATAAATCTTTTATATCCTGAACAGGCCGCATTACATATGTGTGTAGTAGGTCATCAAAATTGTTTCATTGTCTTTTATTTTTATGTGTGTAGGTCATCAACAATGTGTCAATGTCTTTTATATGTGTGTAGGTCATCAACAATGTGTCAATATCTTTTATGTGTGTAGGTCATCAACAATGTGTCAATATCTTTTATATGTGTAGGTCATCAACAATGTGTCAATATCTTTTATGTGTGTAGGTCATCAAGAATGTGTCACTATCTTTTCTATGTGTGTAGGTCATCAACAATGTGTCAATATCTTTTATATGTGTGTAGGTCATCAACAATGTGTCAATATCTTTTATGTGTGTAGGTCATCAATAATGTGTCAATATCTTTTATATGTGTGTAGGTCATCATCAATGTGTCAATATCTTTTATATGTGTGTAGGTCATCAACAATGTGTTAATATCTTTTATATGTGTGTAGGTCATCAACAATGTGTCAATATCTTTTATGTGTGTAGGTCATCAACAATGTGTCAATATCTTTTATATGTGTGTAGGTCATCAACAATGTGTCAATATCTTTTATATGTGTGTAGGTCATCAACACTGTGTCAATGTCTTTTATATGTGTGTAGGTCATCAACAATGTGTCAATATCTTTTATGTGTGTAGGTCATCAACAATGTGTCAATATCTTTTATATGTGTGTAGGTCATCAACAATGTGTCAATGTCTTTTACATGTGTGTAGGTCATCGACAATGTGTCAATATCTTTTATATGTGTGTAGGTCATTAACAATGGTTCAAAGTCTTTTTTCCTACATGTTCTCTCGCACGTCTAGAAATTGATTTTGTTAGACACTGACATGATTTTACAATATTTTGCTTATACTTACATTTTTATTCACTAAGCGGTTAGTGAGCAATTTGAGTAAAAGTAAAAGTGTTCCTTAATCTTATGTCCACCTGTGTATATTTCATAAATAATAATTCTCTAGGTATGCATGTATGGCTGTAATGCTGTGTACAATAGACACGCAAAATACAATTCCTGGAAGTTAGCACTAATTGGCATTCCTATAAAGGGAGTTACCGAACTTGAAAGCTTGTTTTGTCAAGTAACATTCGTAGGTGGGAATCTCACGCATTGCTGCCGCCAATGTTGAAGTAGCACACCTAGCACGCATTGCTGCCGCCAATGTTGAAGTAGCACACCTAGCATACCGGTAAACATAAATAATTACCAAAATAAAATTCTTGCTTTAAGTTTAAGTGAATATTTCTACTCATTCCATTCTGGATAGTCGAAGTATTCACATATTTCTAACATGGCCTGACTCACCATCTCATGCAGCAGCACCGTCAGTTCACAGCATGTCATTCATCACAATGTCATGCAGCAGCATCAGTTCAAAGCATGTCATTCATCAGCATCTCATGCAGCTGCACCGTCAGTTCACAGCATGTCATTCATCACAATCTCATGCAGCAGCGTCAGTTCACAGCATGTCATTCATCACCATCTCATGCAGCACCGGCAGTTCAATGCATGTCATTCATCACCATCCCATGCAACACCGTCAGTTCACGGCTTGTTTGTTGTAAGGTATCTATACACCTCCTGGACTTGAGTTCAGTATTTTTATAAGCCTATCTTATTCAGTGTGAATGGCTGATGTAGAGCACGTTCTCTTCAGATATTTTGAAAAACATAACATAAACCATAAAATAAAGAACACAAGCTTTTCCAAGGCAGAGCAGAACATAATTATAGTATAGACCAGGCCAGGGGTCACCCAACTTTTTTTCACAGTGGGAGGGATAACTGAAAAAATGACGAGCGAGGGCCGCATAATCATTCTGTACAATACTTGCAAGCTCTCGGAAAGAAGACAAAAAAACCCCTAAGTTCGGTATTCCATGTTAATCATAGGTGAGTGGCGTGCGATGCACAAAAAACAAAGACAAACAAGATATTTACTGACTAAAACAGTAATCACAGAAGGCGATGTTAGCAAAAATATAGTTACATCAGACCTAGTGCGCACATCTCCCAAACTAAGCAGCAAACAATGGTTAGTGAGATTTGTGAAACATTACAATATAAAACAAGAAAATCTAGATCCAATAATTGAAGATGGTAAATTTAATGCGCCTGACAGCCAGGTCTCCGTACATGTGAAGATCTAGTATTCTAAACATAATATCTAAATTGCATCACAATGTCTTGTGTTTTCCATATGTTTTATCAAACAAATTCATGTACCGTCTCCGGGCCTGATGAACTGACGTCACCAGCGGGATCCTGCCTGTCGTATGTAGTTTGGTGAACCCTGGTATAGACTAACAGCAGAACAAAATTATAGTATAGAGCACCAGTGTCCAGATTGGGATATAATTCATGTTTGCTTCACTGGAATTGGCATTTTGTGTTTATCATCAATGGCTCAAAATAAACCGGTTACAGGCTTAGGAAACGGTTTTAAACCGGTTATCCGTTTCTGCAGTATGTTCCCAGATGTTCTGCATAAAAAGGTCAGATAAGCTTATTTATAAGATCAAAAGCAGCAGTTGAAGTAACTTGAAATCTATCTTTAGAACATTCAAAGCAACTCTCATGCTGATGTTTGGTACCAGCACTTGAACTTTGAAACAAAAAAATGACCAGTGATTATCAGAGACCACACTGCGCCAATGTGATCTGCATTTGAACTCAATTGTTAAATTGATACCCAAGCCTTTAGCAGAATATCCCATGTAAAGACTAGGCGAAAACGCATTTCATTCATTCCAAGCAGCAATCAATTTTCGGAAATGTTCAAAACGAATGTATATTGATTTACATTTTGTAGGTCTTTCCTTCTACTTAATAGTAAGTAATAGTCTGTTCAAAGACATTAATTATTTCAATACAAAATGGAGCCTAAAATAAATGATTGTTTTTAAAAAAAATCAACAACTGGTTATTTGTTTCAAAACTGAAAGCTGGCTATCTTTAAATAGACTTACCAGTAACACAAAAGGGGAAAGATAACATTGTAAAACTCCTTAAGCCCTTAACTTGTGAAGTTACTCCCTTTATGTGTACAAGATTTGTAAAACTTTGACCAAAAACTTTTTATTTAAGTTTAACCATGCCTGTTAATTGTTTTGAGCTACTTGTCTATATATAATATGCCTGTTGTTTAGAGCTATGTGTTTATATATAATATGCCTGTTGTTTAGAGCTATGTGTTTATATATATATAATATGCCTGTTGTTTAGAGCTATGTGTCTATATATAATATGCCTGTTATTTAGAGCTATGTGTCTATATATAATATGCCTGTTATTTAGAGCTATGTGTCTATATATAATATGCCTGTTATTTAGAGCTATGTGTCTATATATAATATGCCTGTTATTTAGAGCTATGTGTTTATATATAATATGCCTGTTGTTTAGAGCTATGTGTTTATATATAATATGCCTGTTATTTAGAGCTATGTGTCTATATATAATATGCCTGTTGTTTAGAGCTATGTGTTTATAAATAATATGCCTGTTATTTAGAGCTATGTGTCTATATATAATTTGCCTGTTATTTAGAGCTATGTGTCTATATATAATATGCCTGTTATTTAGAGCTATGTGTCTATATATATAATATGCCTGTTGTTTAGAGCTGTGTCTATATATAATATGCCTGTTGTTTAGAGCTATGTGTCTATATATATAATATGCCTGTTGTTTAGAGCTATGTGTCTATATATAATATGCCTGTTATTTAGAGCTATGTGTCTATAAATAATATGCCTGTTATTTAGAGCTATGTGTCTATATATAATATGCCTGTTATTTAGAGCTATGTGTCTATATATATATAATATGCCTGTTATTTAGAGCTATGTGTCTATATATATAATATGCCTGTTATTTAGAGCTACGTGTCTATTTATAATATGCCTATTATTTAGAGCTATGTGTCTCATAATCATAATATTATTAATATATCACATGTGTCAAAATCAAGGCCTGCAGGCCACATACGGCCCTCCGAACAATTACATCAGACCTGTGAGGTTTTGACCGGCATAAAATTATATCCAAGTCAACGCTATGGTGCTTCCCAATGCACACTTAGCTGACAAACTTAGCTAAGATCACATTGAGTTCCCACAGCGTTTTAGTGACTTTGAAGCACAGCTGTTTCATAACCCATTAGTCATAGATGTGGAAAGTGCACCTGTAAATTTGCAGATGGAGCTAATAGAGCTGCCGTGTAATGGGACACAAAAGGCAAAGTATGACACAGTTGGGCCTGCACAGTTCACTCTTTCATTCCCGAAGAGATGTTCCAGCTTTGTCGACATGCGGCTCTAACCTTGAGCATGTTGGGTAGCACATATATGTCTGAGCAGCTGTTTTCTATGATGAAGATTAACAAACATCACACTTGCAGTCCCTCATAAGAATCTCAATGACACAAAACGTTACATCCAACATAAACGAACTAACTTGTTTTTGTACCCAAGAAAATGTGCCAAACATCCAGGTCTGACAAATTGGGATTATAACGAAAATGGGTATGCAATGATTTTTAATTATAAAAACTTTTTTCTGTTTTCATTTTTTTAATGTTTATAAAAAAGATTAATTTTCCGCTTATTGAATTTTTATCACCTTCAGCCTGCAACCTGACATATGATTTGAGTTTTTGCCCGCCGAGTTTGACAACCGTGATATATATAATAATATGCCTGTTATTTAGAGCTACGTGTCTATATATAATATTGGTTGTTGACTCCTTTGTGATATAAAAACATTGTCAGGTTTCAATAATGAATGATCTTTTTATTCAACATTTTACCATTTGAAAAACACTGTTTTTAAAAAAAAATTACACTAGTCAAATAACTCTTATTTATTTCAAATCAGACCTCCCATAACAAATACTCTCAACTCTTATTCCACATGTGATAGTTACCAGCAGTACAAAAAATCTAATTTGTCTCATAGTACCAAGTTCTTATCATAGACCTAAAAAATATCCAAAGCTAGCAGAAAATTACTTCTATGGGTAAATGAATAGTTTACTAACAAAAGATACAATTTAAAATGTCTATGATCTGACGGAACACTCAGAATTTCTTCCACTAATAATTCCAATAAAAGATCTGAATTGTAATTGCAACATAATCATACTCATACTGATCTGAAACATCACATCAGGTCAATTACACTACACCAAGGTTGGTTGATCTATTGCAGTGGCTTTACATGGTTATGACATGCAGACACCCCAATAATGATATCTTTTTTACCAGCAGACACCCCAACACACACCCCAATAAAGATATTATTTTTTCCAGCATACCCAAGCACACCCCCTCCACACATGTACACACATTAGGGAACACCAGGATATGTTCCATTTTATGTTTCAATAGTTGCATGTAGCAACAAACAAAATTAACTATTTTCAAGCACATATCCCGTGAAAGCTCATCATATGAGCTCATCATTTTGGGAATCACCGATTCATTGCAACTGTAGAGTTCAACATGCAAGGTGTAACAACTCAAGGCCCAGCCTGTGCTAGAGTGGTGGACACCACATTGTTCCAAACGTGTCGGGTAAATCTACACATGGCACATCAACAAACCAAGGACGATCTGGAGATAGAAATGTTTCGTTTGATTCCTTTTGTAACGCATCATCAGGAAGTTTTCTGTCGGAAATGTGTACAACACAACTCTTGCTGGGTGGACATGATGGCAATTTCAAGGGAGAGAATACATATAAAATAAGGCTGCGACTATTTGTACCCGGGTACCAGAAGTGAGCGGTTGGGACTATATGTTTGTAAACTTACTGCTTCAGTTTAACTAAAATAAACTACCACAAATGACAGAATAGCTTGAGTCTAATGGTACCCGGGTGCGAATAGCGGCGCTGCGTGTCTGGGTCCATTTTGATTCAGCACTATTCGGATGTCATTTGTGATAGTTTATTTTAGTTAAACAGAAGAATTAAGTTTACAAACATATAGTCCATTTAATTATCTTTCATTTCATACCTCATTTTGTCTTACAAACCCAACAATACAATTTTAAATAGTTTTTTAATCCCAACCTCTCACTTCTGGTACCCGGGTACGAATAGCCACTTTGATGAACTAAATGAATCTGTGTCTGAATAGCCACTTTGATGAACTAAATGAATCTGTGTCTGAATAGCCACTTGGATGAACTAAATGAATCTGTGTCTGAATAGCCACTTGGATGAACTAAATGAATCTGTGTCTTAATAACAATACAAAAATTTGCTTAGAGTAAATCCTTCAACTCTTGTTAAAGAAGAAAATTAATAGGAAGATATTGGTAATGTTTATGAAGAGCAACCAAAATGAGTGAGATGATATAGCTAACAAGACATGTGACAATGCAGAGAAATGTCACTCCAATTTAAGATGTGGTGTATGACTGCAGACTTACCTCCCTTCACATAAGTTTTAGGTGGGAGATCATAAGGAAGCGGAAATATTGGAATCTTTGATTGAGGCACTTCTTCCACGTGACTTGTAACTTTAAATGCATTCTTGCAGCCCTGTGTATGGCCACAGCATAAAAACATTAGCATTTAAAATATTAACTAAAAAGTTATTATTAAAGTTAAGAGGCCCTATTTTATTTGAAGGATTTAAATTAGGGTAGGGCTCTGAGGTAAAGTGGTTAAAATGTTATTCCAATTTTATGCAAAGCTCTGGTTAATTCAAATTAGAAGACCTTGGTGTTAAAAGTACTTAAGCCACAATATCACCCATTTTGAGATAAATTCAAATATTCTTTTCGTCTATGAAATGTAATCATTTTCATTTTTTGGCTTCTTTACATGTACATTTTCATGTGTTCAAATTTATGCAGTAAAAACCGACTAAGAAGAGGTCATAGTTTAGATTGATTTTGACAAAAATGTGACTTAAGTACTTTTAGCTCTAGGGTCTTCTTTAAAATGATCAGAAAAAAGAAGTTTTCACCTTGCACCCATCAGTAAACTCATTGTGTTGTGGAAACAAAAAGAAATATGTCACAAATAAAAGAAACAAAACTTATTTTAAAACAGCTGGAGAAAGTTTAAAAGAGTTAATCAGAAAATAATAAATAGCTTACAAAAAACTGTGGAAGGAAGAGAACTCCAAGCTCATAAGACCGGATCATCAGTTGGCTTCTGTCTTTCTCCAGGACACCCCAGGCCGCTTTTGACAGGTTAGCACTATAGAAAATAAAAAGGAGCTAGATGTCACTGACAGCAGCTTTATGGATATTGTTCATTGTTACAAGACCAGGAAAGTTGGTCGCCCATAGTTAAAATAAAAACTATAAGCTGAGACAAATTGTTAAATTTTCTTCATCTTAAATTTAAAAATTAACAAATCCTACTCATGCTATACACTTAACATTAACATGCACTGTACATGACATTTACATTTAATTAGCTACTACAAGCAAAAATTGTGTGTATGTAAGAAGAGTTAAGAAAGTACAAATCCGGTTTAACCTGGTCACCAAAAACCAGGCAGCTTGTGAGCCGTCAGGTGAGCATCGTGTATAAGTCTTGATGTGAGGAACAGCTTTTGACCTGCCACGACCCTCGGACACCCATTGACTGGACAAAGGATGAAGCAACAGGTATGGAGTTAAAGAGTATATCAAATATCTTTTTCAAATGAATTATGCCCGTGATGCAAACAGGGAATTAAATTCTTCAAAATGAAAGTAACCATAATAAATGGCTTTAAAACACAGTCATAAATTATGTTATAAAATGGCTTTAAAACACAGTCATAAATTATGTCATAAAATGGCTTTAAAACAGAGTCATAAATTATGTTATAAAATGGCTTTAAAACACAGTCATAAATTATGTCATAAAGTCATGTTGCATAACCAAGAATGACTTAAATATGAATCCTTGTATTTTTGCATCGTTGTATCAAACAAAAATCACAACTTCACCTCACCAGAACAAGGGAGTGAGCCAGGGCTGTTTGGAAGCTGTTTTTATGCTGTAGGGCACACAGCCACCACCGTTGTAACCCTCCAAGCTGAGACGTATATTGTCTTTTGAGGGGAAAATCTGAAAGTTGGATGACAAGCAATCAGGATTATTTGTTCCATGTTTTCATTCAGTACTAGAGTCATAAATGCACATACATTATCCTAAATCAATTGCTGTGTGTTTTTTTTTTTATATCATCTATGTTTTGGCAGGGGTGTTAGATCTCATGACTGGTAAGATTGATTTGCTCAAATTTATGATCAATCCTAGTACAACTAACATGAAATAATTGATCATGAAAGAACACAAGATACTAATGTGTTTAAACAAAGGGTAACCCATGTTCTTTAACCCATGACCTGTGGTCGGCTGAAAGAAAAAAACGGGCGATATTTTCGTTCTGTGGCGGCCGATAAAAAAACACTGTCAGATAGCGGCTTAGAAAAATCCAACATTAAATCGGAATTATAGCCACTTCCTTTTATTAATAATGCGCCCACTTTCTGGAACCAGCTCTCCTTCCACATCCGTCATTGTGAAACCTCGTCCACTTTCAAAAAGTCCCTTAAAACCCATCTGTTTAGGTCCGCCTATGATCTGTGATGCACCTTCCTTGCCCTGCCTCATTTTCTGTGTCGGGTTGATCCTGTAGTATAGGTCAAAACGTGCCAAAGTGTACGCGTTTTTATAGCCATTTTAATGTTTAAGCTACTGTTTCTATGATCATTTTTATTGTAGTTACTATTCTAGTGTCTCTGGTTTTTTCCTTTTTCTTTTACTTTAGCAGTTTAAATAGTTCAGAAATTTTTAATAATTGTGAAGCGCTTAGAGCAGTAAGGTAAGTGCTATAAAAAAATGCCTAAATAAATAAATAATGACATCTTCTTCCAGGTCATGCTGTTTGTTGTTTTATATCACTGTTCATAGTCCCAGTTTTTGTTTAGCTACATACTTGGTTTTAGCTGTAGTCCCAGTTTTTGTTTAGCTACATACTTGGTTTTAGCTGTAGTCCCAGTTTTTGTTTAGCTACATACTTGGTTTTAGCTGTAGTCCCAGTTTTTGTTTAGCTACATACTTGGTTTTAGCTGTAGTCCCAGTTTTTGTTTAGCTACATACTTGGTTTTAGCTGTAGTCCCAATTTTTTTTTTTCAGTACTATATGACCTAAAATTACTAAAATTGCTTTCAGATGCTTATTTGTATTAGAAACCTTAGCAAACCATACATTTTCTAAGAGATAAATGAATTGGCTACCACATTTTATAAGAATTTTAATGAAATCTACAAAAATTAATGACGTTAACATTTTTATGAGCATTTAAAAGCAAGAAATTTTGTTGATTTTTTCCCTTTGAGCACTCCAAGGTCAAGGTCACTGAATAAATTATTTTTTTTAATTTGGTGGGCAATGTAGCCAACTTTATCCCCGTCCATTCACCTTTCTAAAAATATCTACTTATTGGGGTCTTGTATCAATATTTCTATGTCATTTAATGCTATTTCAGAAGGCACTCAAAAAGCTCTCTTCCCACACTACAGCATGACTCTCTACCGCAGTTCGTGGGTTAATGATTGGCCTGAAGAAGGATTATGATTAAAACTTTCAAACTAGCCCCAGTTCACAGTAACCACACTAAGCAGATGACATTGTATTCAAGGAGTTAAGCTTTTTGGGCTGCACTGTAATTAAAATTAAATAAGAGGTCTGAAAGTACAGTTTTAAAGATAAGAGTTTGAACTGAGGACATCATCTAACCAATGGAAAAGGTTAACTTTAAATTTATTACTGTTACTGTTTTTTTCCCAAAACAGACAAGTAACAGAGTGGAAATTACAATATGATCACATCCTTATATATCTCATACCAAGGTTATGACATACCAGATTGAGTTTAGAGGCCGGGAGGATAGCAGATGGCTCTTTCTTACAAGCAGACAGAGACTGTCCCCATTCATTCAGCAGCCAGATCTCTTTGCTGGTTCCCAGAGACCCAATACTGGAAAACTGACCCACCACTGGCCAGTTCTTGACTAAACCCGAGTCAGGACCTCTCTCTGACAAAACCTAGAAATGGCAAATGTGAAATAAAATTGATTAACATGGCCAATATTCATGAATTTCTTTATCCATTACATATAAATTATTGCTAATAAGTTAATATAAAAAACAGCATTTTTTATAATAATCAAAAGATACTAATCAAAAGTCTTAATTCACCATTTTTTACAACTGTCTATGTAAACGTGTTCATTTCTCATGACAAATAGATGCAAAAATTTACAAATAGAAGTTTATTATTTATTTATTTATTTATTTAGGCATTTTTATATAGCGCTTACCTTAAAGCTCTAAGCGCTTTACAATTATTAAAAACATGTAAACTAACTACAATGAAAATGAGACATTACGATAGTAACTACTATACTATAGAAACAATTAAAATGGCTATAAAACGAGGACACTTTTATAATATGCTGTTTCTAGAATGACAGCAGTCACATCATGAGTTTTAGGACTGAAGCTAAGCCAGACACAGTCACATCCAGAGGCGTAGCGTGGTGGGGGCAGGGGGGGACTGATGTCCCCGGGCGCCAGCTATTTAGGGGCACCAAAATGTGCTTTGATAACATTTTAATGATGAAAATAATGGGTTTGAGAGTTGAAAAAAAGAAAAAGGGGCGCTAAAAAGGGATCTTGTCCCCGGGCGCCAAACACCCTCGCTACGCCACTGGTCACATCATGAGTTTTAGTACTGAGGCTAAGCCAGAAACAGTCACATCATGAGTTTTAGGACTGAGGCTAAGCCAGACACAGTCACATCATGAGTTTTAGGACTGAGGCTAAGCCAGACACAGTCACATCATGAGTTTTAGGACTGAGGCTAAGCCAGACACAGTCACATCATGAGTTTTAGGACTGAGACTAATGTAGACACAGACCTCAGACCAGATGTTACCCCTTAAGGTGGGAGACCAGGTAAGAGCTCAGGTAATATTAAGTTGAACTTTAGGACAAATTGTTTTAAGCTAACATAATGAAAACAGATATTTAACACAAAAAAAAAGAAGTAAACCTTTTTTAACTTCAGATGCCCCCAGTGGTGCTTGTTGTTAAGTGTATGCCGGCCTGGTACTGAACCAATCATGTGAACACTGGCAATAAATAACAAAAGAAATGTAAATTAGTCCTAAGTAAACACTGGGATCCACTAGTCCTATAGATTCAAGTACAGCTTTATCTTATATATAACTAAATTATACAGAGTAACTTTTTTGAAAAATGATTTGATGTGCTTTACAAAATGACATTAGAAGTGTCTCTGGGGAATAAAAGGTTTAAGACATTGTAACCAACATAAAATCACTGTAATGGTCTACAGTATATGCCAGGTTTTCCTAATGTTACAGGAGACACTAAAAACCTAATAAATTTCAAAACGTTTAAAAATGAACTTTTAAAATATTTGGTTAGATCGTGTGATAGAAAAGATGCTTTCCAGAAATACAGTTTTAAAAATATTTTTACAGGTCATGGAGAAGACCTAGACCTCAATAAATTTGGAGGAAAAAAAACAAAAGGCTATTTTGAACGAAATCGGACTTGTGCGGACGTTAAGGTAGTTTCACAATTATTGAAATGTTATAATATAAAGGACTTCCTGGTCTAGGACCAAAAAAAAATTTAGAGCGAATTCAGTAGAAACTTCAAGCGTTTCACAAGTTCCCACCTTGATAAAGAATGCTTCAGCCCTATTGATGTGTAACATAACCCCCACTGAGGTGCAATGTTCAGTTACTAACTTTGCTGCGCTCATGTCATGGGCTTGTATGTGTCTCTCCCAAGGTGCCAGCCTGGGAGCCTTGTATGCAGCAAGGTACTGAAGGAGATCTGACTTAAACCCCGTGGGAGAATCTCCTTTCTCTGCTGGACTTTTCAGAGGTGGAAAGACCGGACTGATCCAAATCCTGATGTCGTCAGAAGTGACAAAATAACACATTTTACATGAGTTAGTTAGACGATATTTTTTAAGGTATTAATAATCACTGGAATATTGTTTATTTATGCTTATTATTTATAATCAGAATGATTTACAACTAGCGCATTTAGATTAAATTTAATTGGCTCTGAGAATTATTATTTTAACCAAAGATCAAACATATTTTAGAAGATTAACAAAAAGAGGACAATTCAGACTCAGTATCAGCTAGTTCTAACTGGATGTGAATTGAATCAAGGCAGTATCATCTTACCCTTGAGTTTTTTGATACCAGTCATTAGAAATAAGATTTGCAGTGTGTATCACCACTCTGAGTCCCGTCTCATACAGTAGAAACATCATTTTCCTGAGGAGAAAGTACCCTGTTAGACAACTGACAACTTATCAATAGGACTGCTTCTAATCGATTTGCAATAATATCAGGGGGCATTTTAAATAAGTTTAAAAATCTAATAACAAAGAACAGCAATATAATTTTCATAATTGAACATGTTTACCATTGTCAAATTAAATTGTTTACAAATCCATACGTATTGATAAAAACTTATATCATGTTAAAATTAAAAAAAAATAGAAACAGAAAGATAGACTCACGTATGGTGAGTACCATATGGAATGTCAAGTGGCGCCTGATGAAAGAAAAAATAGGGACAAGTGGTCACCTTAGGTTTGGATAATATTTCTGATCAAAACAATACACTCTGCTTGTGTCAGTGACAATCCATCCCAAACATTACAGTGACAATATATCCCAGACATTACAGTGACAATACATCCCAGACATTATAGTGACAATATATCCTAGACCATACATGACTTAGAGGGGATTTTTCAAAAGTGAAGATGCAGCAATGTAATGCCCCCCCACCCCATAAACAAAAGGAACAATCTTTGCCCCCCACCCCATAAACAAAAGGAACAATCTTGCCCATTCAGCACTTGATGTTGTCTTACAGTCAAAATCCATATTTGATTGGTTTATTTCATCAGATTCTTTTATAGGTTATAATCACACCGAATTGAAAACAAGAACTTTTCCATTAGTTATGTAACTGTATCTAGAAGACGTAAATCAGGCCATACATTTATTCAAACACATGAATAGGGCAGCTCACTAAAAGGAGAGCTACTGCACAGCCATCCACCACAAGACAGTCTCTATGACACCATGATAAATATAAGTCACCACTTAAATGGCACGAAAAGCGTTCATTACCTATTAACTCTCACAAAACACTGAACAAAATAAAACACAATATCCGATGCGCAACAATTACTAGCGAATTTCCCTACTCCACACTTACCCTACAGAGAGAGACGTTAGAGAAAGGATCAGCTTCAGCTTTTATATCCAGTTCTTGTCTCCCTTGTTCCCCATGAACCAGTAATAAAGGCATCTTCCTGAAAACAAAACCAAACTTTTAAATGAGGTTCGACAAACTAATTATTATTGTCAGCTACTGGCTCTTAAGCTGTATCCTGTAGCCCCGTGACTATCTGGAGAGTCATGAAAGTATTCACTCATTTTGATCTTGTTCAAACTTCAACTCTAGGCAGTCTTCAGAGGCTGATAATATAGGAATGCTTCTTTTAAATTGTTTATTTTAAATGTTAAATTTCTTGCCTAAAGAGTCTACTCTTGTAATTGAAATTCTTAAGCTCAATAACATAATGCATTTCATTTGAACATACCTCTAACTAATGTAGATTCAGTAGAATGTATTATACATAATTCTCATTAATTTTATAAAATTATGTAATCTATTGATTGTGAGCTACTTCAAAGTAAAAAAATTAACACTGATTTAAATAAAAAAATTAAAAAAAAGATAAAGAAAATAATAATTTTAATTAAACAAACATATGCTGTGACAGAATTTTTTATTTACTAATCTGACAAAATCCAGTTAATATACCTGAACTCTTCTGGGTATTGCTTGAGTAACCAAGGGATTTCAAACATGAAATTAAAATGGCAGGAAGATTTGAGTTCACCCATGGATGCAGACAAAATGTCTGAAAGATATGCAAAAAAAATTTTTTTTAAAGGTAGGGCGAAGGAGGCATCTTCACACGAGTCAAATGCAATTTAAAAAAAAATTATTTTATGTGATTTGTGAGCCTGCTCACTAAAATACTTGACGTGCGATGGGATTGCTGAACTATTCCTACCTCTGAGATTCATTGCCCCCATAGCGTTGTGCCTCTGCGGAATATCTGAAACTTTGGTGAGAAAGAAGCTAAAGGGCTGAAACTCCTCAAAAGAATCAAGTGGCATTTTTTCAGTGGAAGCTTTCATACTGAATTTAGGTTTTTTAGATGATTCTGGTTTTTGAATGTCTTCCTCAAATTTTCTTTTACCTGAATTTATAGAGTTGGGGATTATTTTTTGCATACTAAAATAAATCATCAATTTTTAAAAAAAACTTGCCCTTGAATTTAAAACTATTTTAATTGCAATTTATTAAGCATAAAAAATGTAAAACTGTGAAGCTAAATATAATAGTTATTAAGAGGGCAGCAGCTTTGAAAAAAATAATAAAACACAATAATACCTTGACTTTTAGGATGAAAATATTCTTCCAGATGAGATGGGTTTTTTCTGTAACATCTGGCCCCATACTGACAAACTGGCTTCTTTTTTGTACTGTTTGTTTTGGCTGTTTCTTCCTCTAAATCTGTGTCTGTGTCATAAATGTAACTTTCACTGGAGTGACTTTCTGAACATGATTTCAAATTAAATATTTTTTTATAACAAACCACTGTATTACTTACTATTAAATTAAAACACATTTAACCTTTTCAATCAATTACTTAAATTCTAAATCCATTTAAATGACAACTCTTTAAGTTTTTGATAACTTTTGCACGAAGTTTATATTAGAAGTGGATGTTTGTCTTAACACTCAACTTAAACCCCAATCATAAGGTATATGCATTCAATTCTGATGTCACATTATTTATTTTTATAGTTATTTAGTAAATTGTAAAAACAATTTAAGTATTTAAAACAATTTATATGTGAAAACTTTATTACTGTCTGGCCCAAACAAATCCTGGGATCCATTATGTTTGTCAACTTCAGTAGACTTTTCAAAATAATCAGAATCCTCAGAGTCTGACACAGAGTGAATCTTGGTTGCAAGTTTGTGCTGTGTTATATGAGATTTTCTGACGTCATATTCTGCTACTTCTCGGTCAAACTGTGATATATACATTCAAATAAAAATTACATGTTCAATTATATAATTTTGCCTACTTCAAAGGTGTAATATTGTTTTCACTCTTATAACACTGACAATAAATCAATGCAGGTTTGTTGCTACATAAACTCGGCATGGAATGAAAAGATTAATAAATCTATGCCATGTCCCTCAAGAATTTATAGACATACATAATAATATTTGCCAACAAAGATGATATGCTGTATAACACAAAATGTGATGAATGGGGATGACAGATAATTCACTTTCAATGAGTGTGTAACTTGTATGTGTGGAGCCCTTTGCCTGTGTCAGTGAGTTGATCTAAAAGAAAATGTCAACATCCGGTTGATAGCAAGAAGGGCTACTAAATAACCTATTTAAAATTAATCATTAAAATTCACTTCCCTTATAAAATATAACTACGCCTAAATAATTATCTAAATATATTACCATTTTGTCAGCTATACATATAGAGACAATGTATTTTTAAGTCTTCCCTGAAAGGGGAAATAAGTAAATAAAATAACTTAAAATTAAATTCTCTATATACTGAAAACAGGTATTTTAGCGAAATTTTCAAAATATTTAAAAAAATATAAATGGAGTAGTTAAATGGTACCAATTGAATGGTTTACAAAAAAACCAAGATCAACTTTCTAGCTCAAAATTAAAATATCATTGTTTATATTAGATCAAAGTTCATTCTAAAACACAAGTTATCAACTATTTTGGTGTAAATACAATAGTGGTAATAATTAAATATTTTCTTAGTATCTGCATCTTCCATCATTAAAAAAGGGTGTGTGGTCTAAATGGGGCAGGGTGACCTTATGGTAATGTAGGTCACTTAGATGAACATAACTAATGGATGACATGTCCTAGCTCAATGAGAATTGGCACACATATAAGTATACATCAACATATTTTACAGAGGAAGAATTACTGTATTTTCCGGTATAAGACAACCCCCTACTTTTCCTGTTAAAATATAGGGTTTGGGCTATACTTGCCATATAAGATTACCCCTCTTTCAACGCACAACAAATAAAAAAATTCAAATGCTTATGACATGCAGGTACTTAGCAGAAAAACTGTCACTTATAAACATAAGGATGTTTGTCATCAAACATGTAAGCATAAAACAGTGTAAGTGGATTAAACTTTTCCTAATTCACTCTAAAGCTGAAAGGAAGGATAAGACAATAAACCCATGGGAGCTGCCATGCAGTTTTTTTTCTGAGCTGTTAACCAAACTGAAATTAGAGGAACGTTTCAGCACACTGTATGCCAGTTTATAAGACGCCCCCTTACTTTTGAAAAGATTTTCATGGGTTAAAAAGTTATCTTATACACCAGAAAATACGATAATATGAAAGACATAAAATTTGAACTTCATAGGAAATTTTTTCGGGAGAGATGCCTTATACTTAACCCATGAATTTCTAATATTGTGGTCGAAATTTTATGATGGAAATGTAGGTCAAGATTTTCACCACTCAGACTTCTGTTAATGTATGGATGAATACCACAATTTTATGACAAAATAGTCCTTTCATTAACAAAAATGCACCGACCTGCAAAAATTAAAAACTCAGATTCTTCTGCGCCAATTTCTAAACAAATTTTGAATTTTGTCTCCCTTGCCTTATCGAAGTGCCTAACATGTTAAAAAATTACAAATGAAAATGAACATGCGTTTTAAAAATTCATGTCATAGCTCAAAAAGCACTTAAGTAGATACTTCTGCAAAGCAAGGGAGACTACTTCAAAATTTGTATTGGAAATAGGCGTCGGCGCAGTAAAATCAGACTTTTAAATTTTTTAATGTGAGTGTCAATTCATTAATAAATGAGCCCTATAATAAATATAATTGAGTTCCGCTTCCGCCTTTTTACTTTGGAAGACATCTTGGCCTACATTTCCATCCAGCTATTTTGCATTTTCAATCGACCTTTATTTTGAAAATCTTTGGTATATATAAGGCATCTTCACATACTAAATTTTTTTTGAAATAAAAAGAAAAGGTCTTTCATATTAAAAAGTGAAAAGCATTGTATATAGATGAATACATGGGCTAATCTCTCATTGATATAGGTCATGTCCAACGTTCGTTACGCTTGTCCCCGTAACCCGCATTACCATAAGGTCACTCAGCCTAATTTCAACATGCTGTGGGCCACGCCCCCCTTTTTAAACGCAGAAGATGCAGATACTTAGCAATATTTAATTATTACCACTATTTACGTCAAAATATTTGATAACTTATGTTTTAGAATGAACTTAAATGTTATTGAAAGAATAATATTTTAATTTGAGATAAAAAAACCCCGATGCAGTCCATATTATAAATGATCATAATTTGCAGTGTGCAAAATGTCATGGCCATGGACAGCCATTCAGTCACTTGCATATTGGCTATACCGTACTATCTCAGTGTTTTCATTCATAAAAGTTTGCATTGTGCAAAAACTATTAAACCAGGTCAGGGAAAACTTAAATTAATTAGTCATGTGTCAAAGTTGAAAGTTCAAAATAAGTAGTTCCCAAAGAATAATAAGGGGATGTGTTGCCTTATATAGATTATATAGCATATACCGGTATGATGGATGTTGTAGATTTGGTAATTTAATAAACAAAAGCCATATTTTAATACATTATATTAAATTTACTGATATACATATTGCATTGTTAGATAAGCTACAATTTATCTTTAATTATTAAAATTATGTTTCAATACAGCATTTGTTCTGCAAATAACAGTCGTATTATACGTATAATAGTATAAATTATAAAATTATCATTAAAACGAAAGTTATATTATATAGCTCGTGACGCGCACAGCGGAATTAGGTCGCAGAATGTGGAGATGTGGTCCATGTTAATAGTTAAAAAAGGACAAACCAAGTCGTACTTTAAAAATTCATAACTTAAAAACTACAACAACTAAAAATATTATTTTGCTGCTATAATTCTGTAAAAAAAAATAGCTCTATTCAACTATGCCATTGGTTTATTTTTACAAAAAGTTTTTAATTTTTTTTTATCAAAGTACCCGGTACCTAGCTTTAGTTTAAGCTAGAAAGATGATTCTGGTTTCATTTTTTTTTTAAATTTGATATTAGCTCTGGCTCTATACTTATACTCTATATTTAGGCACTTTGATGAAAATTTCAAAACATTAAACAAAATATAAAAATACTACATCTGTATTGAACCTGGTGAATAGATTACAAAAACACCAAGATCAACTTTCTAGCTCAAGTGGTTCAAAAGTTATGAATTTTTTAGTAGGGACCTTTTTTATTATGGGATTTTCCTCCACATTTCGTGACCCTCAATTTGCTTTTTTTTTAACGCCTATAACTTTATTGTAAAATGAGACAAAAATATAATATTTACAGGGAACATAGTTAAATAAGAGTACTTCTAAATAAAGCCACAAAATATAAGTTAGCTTTTATTAATATTCCGCAAATTTTTTTTTTTAAATCTTGATTTTTTCCTTTTAAAAAAAATGTATAAATATCCTGACTCGTTACTTATTTGAAATCAATTAATTAATTTTGTTAAAATATTTTTTTAAAATTTACCTAAAATTATAATAATATTCTTTAGATATAAATTTCAAATTTTCTGTGGAATTGTTTAACATTTATAAGTATAAACTAATAATAAAGGGATTTTTGTTTCATTTAGTTAAAATTTACGATTACACTTTTTATTTTACCATTTTCTATATATGTATTTTAGTCCCATATCATATAAATGTCTGAATGTGACAAAAAAATAATATGTCATTTTTTTACAAGTTAGTAATCTTGTTTCACAAATTAATATGCATTGATATAACCAACTTTGGTGGTTTATACAAACTAAAATAAGTTCTAGTCATTTGCTTGAGGTAAGTATACGTTTTTATGATTGTTCTTTAATAATATCTTAAGTAATTCTTGGACTATTGTGGCAGAAAGTGTGTTTTTACTTTGAGAATACTAAGGATTATGTAATAATTCTCTTGTGAAATATTGTGATATGTGATTAAATATAGGATATTTCAATATTAAAGGTAAGTGACTATTTTTCTTTACATTTTTGGTTAATCTATGCATTAAGAATCATAATATTCATTAAAATATCATTAAAAATAACAAATAATGTGTCCCACAAATAATAAGCTGAGGTGGAGCTAGGCCTATACTTAAAATACTATACTTTTCTAGGCCTGTATAAAAACTATACTTTTCTAGGCCTGTAGGCATATAGTATGATATATAAACTGTAATATTTAATATATTAATTATAATAATAATGAGGCTTATAATAAATTCAGTTTAATCCACTACCCAAGTCACTACACCTCAATAAAAGCATCAAAAAAAGTAAAAAAATATATATTTATGTGGTTAAAATAGGTATCCGTGATATTAAATTATTTGTTTTTGTTTTTGAATGAGTTATTATGGAGTAATAAGCTGGATTTCCATTGTAAATCAAGTTAAAAATAGTTATCGATAATGGGTCATTTTGGGACACACGTGACAAAAATTTGGTAGGCATTTTTTTACCATTGAACTGGGTCCTAACCTCTTGAATTTTTTATATGTTAATGTTGTAATTTATGCAATTATCTACCATCATCTTTTTATTTAAGAAAGACACCCTTTCCAAAAAAAAACATCTAAAATAAGCATTATTTTACCTTCAATTTTCAAAGTTAAGACCTTAACTATTTTTTAGAACAAAATTCTAATCATAAAACAACATGTTTACTCAAAGTTGTGGGTGGAAATAGAATGTGCTTGCTGGGCTATAATTAAAAAAAAATCGTTAACAACAAAACTCTCTGTAAATTAAAAAGTGGAGGTTGCCATTTTGATAACAAAATCACGATACCTGGTTTTCGGCAATTCCCGGATCTCGGCTATAGTCTGTCTATTTTAGTCTAGGCTGTTTCAGATTTAGCGGCCCACGTTGACTTTGTTAAGGTTAGGCATAGGGATTGATTTAGGGTTCAGGTTAGGCTTAGGGATAGATTTAGGGTTCGGGTTAGGTTAGGCATAGGATCGATTTAGGGTTCGGGTTAGGCATAGGGATCGATTTAGGGTTCAGGTTAGGCATAGGGATCGATTTAAGACGTAAAAGTGCACGCATGGAAATAAACGCGGGCCGCGTTCTCTGAATTTACCTTAGTCTATTCTATACTATACACCTGTAACTGTAATTATTTTTAGGAGTCAGGAGCTTTTTTTTTTTTGGAATGGACGAATTGTGTTTTTTTTCTAATTTTTACCATGGCAAAGTAGGTTAAGTTTACTAATATCACTGACTGAGCCTGCCTATAGCCTATAGTCATAATATAAATTAATAATATATAATATAATTATAATAATTAATAATTTTAAATAGTAATACTAAAAAAAATATAATAAAATTGCGTTTAATTTTCTTTTAAAAAGATTGTAACTTAAGTCTGTACGGCAGTGTGCGAGTACTCATAAAAATTTTGTTTAATTTTTATATTTTTTTAAACATTAAAAATAATAACCTGAGCTTGCAATTTCCGCGCTAACTCCTCATCAGCAGACATATTTATTGTTGACAATATCAACTTGTAGGCAGGGCTGCCACTCACTTTTTTAAAATTTTCCAAGATTTGGTCATGAAATTTCCCAAGATTTCCCAAGATCATAAAAGTTTTTTTTAAAGGGGGGGGGGGGTTCTTATGTCCTTAATGCAATAATATATTGAATTAATGCCCCTGAAACACATGGTACAATAATTGACTGAAATTTATTGAAAAATACATTTAAAAAAAATGTTGATCACATAAAAGAAATAAACAATTTCTTAAAAAAATAATTTATATTATTTTATTATTCAAAATATCAATACCCACTGGAGTTAAGCTACTAAATGTTTCCTCCAAATTCTCTCGTAAAAATATCATCTACAATCCATGTGTAATAGAAGTCACTTGGAAACAAAGCTCACAAGGCTAATCAACACACAATTCCTTTTACAAAGGCAAAAGGTTTTCATCAAAAAATGTGTTTTCTTATTTTAAGTATGTTGATTAGTAATTGGTTTTGCTAAGCTATTAAGCCAAATGTGTTAATAATAATTGTAGTTGAAATGGATTGACAGTATTATGAAAGCAATAAGTATTTTTATTTTTTCTTGTAAATTTACTTTATAATGATTTTTGTTCAAACGAAACACTGTTTAAAGGAATTTTTCACTCCTACAATGTATAATTTTAATATATTAAGTTACCTGTGTGTCAATCCACAAACATTTTTTTCCAACAGATGAAAATTAGGCTAGATTTGTTAAAGGTGCATAATATTTTGAACACATTGTATAAGTAATTAAAATAATCCAATTTTACTATGGGTTCTTGATAGAACACTATCATTCACTCTTTGATTTGTACTGTTTTTGTATGGTTGCTAATGTCTTATATGCATGATAAAGTTTCCGAGCCTACCACCGCCCCCTCCCCCGTTTAATAAACATTTAACACCTGGATTTGCAAATCTTCAACTTAAAAAAAAGAGAAAATTAAATGTGTCTTTAATTATTAACTTGTTATTAATTTACAATATTAACTTTAATTTTAGAAGAGTTCTTATTTATTTTGAAATGGTTTTAAAAATTAAAACCAGAAAATAAAATTTAAAAAAAAATATTTTTTCCTTGTTACTTTAAAAATTAGTTTGCTTTATTTTCACTTTATTTTTTTATCACGTATATTGTTTGCGTTTTTTCGAAAAATATAATAAAATCTTCCCCCCCAGTTCAAAATTATTCCCCAGATCACAAGGAGGATCGTGAATTCCCAAGATCTTGGGAAATTTCCCAAGGTGTGGTAGCACTGCTTGTAGGGGTATGAAAAATAATTGTTTGGAATTTTATTGTTAGTTTTTCTCTAAAATTACACGGACATCCATTGATGGTACATAATTTGTATATCGATCAGTTGTATGGTTGGATTCTTCTTTTGGTTCTCTTCGTTTTTATGCGGAAATAAAATCTTCCTATATCAAACTGCATAGCGAATAAAACATGGCGGTTTGTTGACGGAAACCACTAATCTGTCATTTGCACAATGTGCATTTAAAAAATCGTACAAAGTGAGTTCATTAAGTAGAGATTTTCGTTAAAAGTAATAATAGTAGTTTATCTATCATTAGATGGCTGACCATTGTAATGAATATATGCTAAAATTAGTTTAATCTGTGAACCAGCTAGTAGTAAACCCCCAAAATTAAATTAAAAACAAGTTTTGACTTGCAAAAAAACGTAATGATATTTAAATACTTGCCTTATCTCTTCACTGTTAAATTATTATTTGTGATGTAGGGACTACTAAAAGTTACTTTAATAGGTAGTCTTAATTCTTTGACTACCACTTGCAGTAGCCCTTCAATAATCTTTTTTTTTTTTAAATTAAAATTACTTTTACTTTTCTTCTTCTATATCTTAAGGGCCCACGATCAATTTATTGATCATTTTGGCTCCTATGGTTGTAGATGGGATTTGCAATGTTTCTGTTACTGGTGTTGATGAGGAAATCATGCACTAGGGGTTTGAAGGCTTGAGGCAATAGTCACAAATGTGTCTAGTGTTGTCGCCTCAACCGTTCCTTTTGAAAGATTGTTCCAGTCCCTGATTGTCTTGGGCAGGAATGAGCAGCTCCTATACTGGCTTCTTGCTGGTATGAGCCTGAATTGCCTGTCATGGCCTCGTCGCTGTCTATGTCTTTTCAGATGTCTAACTCAAAGTTTTTATTTTATTTAATGCAAATCTGCTGGAAAGTACTAATTTTGTTTTAGTGTATCAACACTAATATTGTTTGTGTAGAGGAAGTAGAAGTAGAGAGAAAATAAAAAAATAAAAAACAAACACTTAAACCTGTTTACGTTCCGTTAACTGTAGGATGTCACTGTAACTGTAGGTACTTGCTGGAGTAGTCAGTTTGGTAAATGCAAAGAGAATGTGCCATGACGTATCACACGGCCGCCATCTTGGTTGCTAAAATTAGGAATAAAACATTAAAATTTAATGAAAAAATGTCCCTAAATGTATCCCTAGATACTTCGTCGAAGCAAGGGACACACCCGGAAAATTTGTATCGGAAATGGGCGTCTGCGCAATAGAATCTGAGTTTTTAATTTTTTTTATGCATGTAATTTTAATAATACAGGAGTCCTTTTGGTCCATAATTAAGGTCTGACTCAGCCCATTCACATTAGGAGAAATGTTGATGTACATCAAATTGTACATCAAAGTGAGGAAAATTGTACGTCAATATAAGTCATCTTTCTCTCAAAAATTTTTAAAGAAATTTAAAGGTCATGTCTTTTATATTAAATTCTGATAAACACAATATATTGATGTACATGAATAAAAAGTCTCATTAATAAAGGTTGTGTCCAACGTTTGCTACGCATGCCCAAGTAACCTGCATTACCATAATTTTGACATGGCGAGGGCCACGCCCCCTTTTTAATGGCGGAAGTTGCTGATACTTAGGAAATATTTAATTATTACCACAATTTACATCAAAATATTTGATAACTTATGTTTCAGAATGCATTTTGAAGACATTTAAACTGGAGTGTTTTAATTTGAGCTTTAAAAACCAGAGAGAGTCCATATAATTAATGATCAGAATTTTCCATGTGCAACACGTTGTCATTGGCAACCATTCACAGCCGCTTGCATAATGGCTATATCGTAGTGCTATCTCAGAGTTTCATTCATAAGACTAAGAGTTTGCTGTGTGCAAAAACTATTAAACCATTGGTCAAGGAAAGCTTTAATTAATTATTCATGTGCCAAAGTTGAAAGGAGATGCGTTGCCTTATATAAACTATATATGACGTGATCAGCGGAATGAGGTTACAAGATGTGGAGGTTTCATCCATAGTAAAAAATACCAAACGAACTCACACTTTAAAAATTCATAGCTCAAAAAGTACTTAAGCTAAAAAGTTGATTCTGGTTTAATTTTTTTAATTTGAAATTTGCTCTAAATAACTGTAATATTTAAAAAAATTATTTTGAATTTTTTAATTTGTTCACTAAAGTATCTAGTATCCCTAAAGCTAACCTGAGCACTAAATGCCTAAATCACTAAAAAATGTATCCCTAAAGCTAACCTGAACCCTAAATCACTAAATCTATCCCTAATTCTAAGGAGTGAATCCAATACAGAAACTTTACAAAAACACGTAAATGTTGTCATGGTGTATTCTCTTTGCATTGACCATTAGTTTTAGTGAATTATAATACTTGTAACTGATTTTATTCATTGTAAAAAATGTATGCTAATGTTGAAAATATTATCTCTAGATAAGGCCTAAAATGTATGCATTAAAAGTATAAAATCTGTTGGAAATATGAGAAATAATGGTGTGATTAGAATAGGAGCATGTTTTACTAAATAAAAGATTATGAATGTCATTGCGTTTCATAACTAAGATACTAGTAACTCCTTTAAAAATGAATTTAATCACTTTTCTACAAATATTTTCAAAATATAGATTTATATCATAATTCAGTCTGCAAGATTAGTATTTTTTAGTTCCAGTGAAATAATGATAGCGTATAAAAAAACTATGTGAGTTCACTGCATGAGTGCAAATCAAGAGGCCTTTTAAACAGGCCTTATGAAGAAAAAGACATTTAAGAATCACAAAATAAATACCATCAATAAAATAATTAAAAGTAAAAGCTTGTGCCAACTAAAATTTCCAATACTGGTACAAATGTAGCCTTAACACACACACACACAAAATAATTAGACCTAACTAAAATTTGTTACATAATGGCACATAAGTATGAAATCACAACTTATATAATATTTATTTGCAAATTCAAGAAATTATGTTGATATCTGCACCAAATAGAATTCTACAGGAATTAAGAGCTAAACCACTGAACATCATTCACCTCCAAGAGATGGAAAAATATTTTAAAAATCTCTCTCAAAACAGTTTTGCGAGCAGATTAGTAAATAATTAAGCATTTACCCTAGAACGTTAAATGTGTAGTCAGCCTTTTTTTTTTTCTGTGCATTATAAAAAATTATAGTTTTTTTACTGCAGTATACCATCTTTTTTTAATTTTATTTCTGGTACAGGTATATTTTTATAACAGTTATCTTTTTTAAAATATTTTTTTTCCCCAATCATCAGACCCATTTCTGTACAATCTCAGTTTGTTCATCGAAAAATGGCAGAAGTTCATGTTATAGGTCAAATTGTTGGTGCTTCTGGATTTCCAGATCATAGTTTGTTCTGCAAGTGGGGTATTCATTCAGGTAAGCTGTTTTATTTTTCTTAATTGCTTTTGAATGCTGATCCAGTAATGCATATTTAGCAGCAGGTTGCAAAGTTATTAAAAATTATTTTTAATTAAAAGAAATGGTAAATCACATAAAATTAAGTCTCTCCCCCCACTTTTCAAATTTTAAAGGTGGTGGCTGGAAAATTCTAAGTGGTCTCCGAGAAGGACAAACTCAAGTAGACAACTCTCAAAGTCATGATGCAGCTTACTTTGCACATCCTATAGATATTCACTTTGCCACTAAGGGTATTCAAGGTATTTTCCTAAAAGCATTTGTTACTAATGCTAAATAGTTAAAATTTTAAACATAAGCTTAATAAAAAAATAATTTTAGTGTTTAGAACACTTTTTGAAGCTATTTTTATTGCTTGAAATAATTTTCTAAATACAGTTATTTTGTTTTTATCTTTCTAAAATTGAAACATGGCAGCATACTTTAAAATCACTTAATTTTTAAACGACTGTTAACTTATTCCATACCGTTGGGACGAAATGAGTCCTTTTAATTTTAAAATAGCAAAGAAATCTTGCGTTCCTTGAGACTTCCGGTGACATCAGTTCTGAACTTTTTAATCTTGTTTCAATTTCAATCTATGTGTGTTTTAGTTAAGTTTTAGAACAGTGCATATATATCTAGCATGTGTTCTTCCAAGTCGCCAAAAATTGATCTTTTGGTTATTGCTTGTTATTTGTTTGCAACTAATGTTATAGTTTTATTAAACCTTTCATTTCTGGATGCACTTATCCTTAATTCATTACTATTAATTAATATTTAGCAGCTAAAAAAATATTTCAAAATGTAAATCAATGGCTGTTGGGAAATGAGTTCAACATGAATTTTTACTTGAATTAGACTTTAATATCATACCATATTTTTAATATCAGGTTGGCCAAGACTGCACTTTCAAGTTTGGCATCAAGATGCCTTTGGTCGTAATGAGTTATATGGCTATGGTTTTGTTCACATCCCCACCTCACCAGGAATGCATGAAATAGACTGCCCAACATGGCGACCTACCGGGACATTCATGGAAAGCGTGACACAGTTTTTTTTGGGTGGAGGACCTCATTTAAAAAATCCTGATCTTATTTACAGTGGCGCAGATAGATACAGATTACAAACTATTGCAATGGGGAAAATTCACTTGAGAATTGGCATCATATTAAGAAATTTTGATAAATTTGGTATTGAATGTTAAAGTGATGGGATTTTTCTACTAACTTTATAAAATGATTTTGACAAAGAATTAAAAGTAGAGATATTTGAATGTCATTAAAATTTAAAAAACCTATGATTTTTGCCCATTAATTTTACAATTTTTAGGGAATTGTTGGGTAAATAACTTTATAATGGTGTAGGCCCTTGGATGCTTTTGGTATTATTCTTGTTTAATTTTTTTTAAAGATAAAATTACAAAAGTTTAGACACCGGCTTTTTAAATTAAATTAAATTTCAATTGGTGATTTTTAAAAAATTATGACAACTATCTTGTGATTTTAAACCACAACTTTTTTGTAGGGCGGAAAAAAACCCTGTAATAATAAAAAAATATATTTATGATATTAATTACCGTCCATTCTATGAACGATTGTGAACATTTTGTGTTTAGTATCATGCTAAAATTTTATCTCTTTATACTGTTACATAAAATAAATGCATAATTTATCCTTAAACTTATTATTAACTATTATATTGTTTATTATTTTATATATTTATATTTAAAGTTATAATTGTTCTGATGAATGAAAAATGTTTTCAACTTGCCTTTGAAATAATTTTTAATGTATTAAAAATATTTTTAGTTTATAAATTATCCTAGTCTGATTTTAAATACAGTTATAAACAATATTCGGTGTATAAATAAAAATAACCACACAATTAAATGTAAAAATGTATTTTAAAAAAATATTTATTTTTAGAATTTCTTTCCAAGATCTAAATTAGCAAAACCAGCTGGCATATAGCCATCTCCAACTCTATTCATAATAGACATAAACTTAAAGCGTTCCCCCATTTGTTCTGGTGATGTCAGCATTCTGTAACCAGAAATAAGGCTTGACCATTGATCTTGGCTTGATTTCTGGAGCAAAACCTGAAAAATATGATTAATTAATGTTAGCCATAACTGAAAACTTATAGTAAGTAGTTCATGTTAAACTAAGTCGCTGTATCTTTTGCTGTAAAAAAGCACTGGTATATTTTGAATATAATGGGCTCCTGTAGATATAAATGAACATACCTGCAACCGAAATCCTATGCCCATATTGTTTAAAAATCGTTCTTGAGTTATAGGTCCGAACACTTTCACTGCAATTAAAAAGTTTCAAGAAATTCTTCCCTCATTTTGCATAGCTTAAAAAAATGTAATGAAAAAACACACACAAAAACTATTTCTAGAAAAATGTGTTTCAGAAAGGTTGTGATAAATTTATTTTATTTACCTCTCAATGCTATATTTTAAGATAAATACATTTTTACTTATAGAGTTTTTACTGCACAGTTATTTTATTTTTCTTACCATCATTATCAACAAACTGCTTTAGATAAGAAAAGTCAACATCCGCTGTAAGGTCAGCTGTGCCAGGTTCTTCCAATGGATCGTGGAGTTGGTGATTCTTAAAGGCCTTCAGGCAAAATACAAATTAAAAATGCATTTTTCTTTACCAATTCAAATGAACAATAAATGTTATAAGTAACTCATTATTAAAAACTGCTATCAGTAATTAAAAGATTAAATTTAATTAGATCCTCTTTAGTATTATAAGTAGAACCATTGTTTCAAAACCTCTAAATATATCAAAACTAAAGATATTTTGTTGGACTATTATCATTACCCTGAATGTTCCACCCTTCTCCCCTGAATGTCCATAGTCTGCCAGCAGAGCGAATCCATTGTTTCTTTTAATTCTTTTACATATATCCTGAACAATGATACCAGCCGCAGGGCAAACTTCAAAATTTGTTTTCTCATCACTAGCCAGATCCTAAGCAAATCAGAAGAAAAGGAGGGGAGGGGGGTAAAAGAAAATCTTACTGACATGCATAATCACTCTTAAGCTTATAACAAATTTTTATGCTAGAAAGGAAAACATGGTTACTCCATCCATTAAATAAATAAAGATAATTCACTCAAACGCCTTGTTTGGTAATTTTGGACAAAAATATCATAGTATAGATGCTTCATCGGAATTTTTATTAAAGATGTGATTTTACACCTTGACCAGCATACTTTAAGAATGATCAACATACCTTAAGAAAAGCTATACTTGCTGGTGTCTGGCCTGGTGCTAACACAAAGCGCAGCGAGTCATTAATTGGGTCAACATCAATCATCACCTCTCGCCATCCTTTGTCTATTTTCTGAAGAGAAAAACAGAAGAATTTATCCTCACAGTTAAAGACTTAATTATGAAGATATATAGTTTTAGAATATAACATAGGAATTTATAAAGTGTAATATCTTACATGAAATTTGTGTATAGGCAGGGCATCCAAAAACTCATGTGCAATGAAACAGGAAAGACCTTGAGGAACATCTGCAAGTTCTTTATACCAGTAGACTTGAGGTCCATACCTGGAAGTGCACTGCTGGTAACAGCCCATCTCCTTGGATGCTTCATCAACAATACCACTATTCTCATCATTGGTTTCAGATACATTTTTTCCTGATAGTTTAGCAGCTTGCATCAAACTCAGCTTTGGGCTCACTTCCACAAGGTGCAAACTAACTTTGTCAATGATGTCAGGGAATTGAGAAAAAACCTTTTATTTAGATAAATAAGGTGTATTAATTTAACTTCATCATAAACTATTATTTTTAATCAAACATCATAAACTATTATTTTTAATCAAATATTTTAACAACATTTTTACAAATTCTAAATGGGAGATTAAATGTTAGCGTTCGGATGGTTTTTTCAGGATAAAATGTGCAATAATAATTTACATTCTTCATACAGGTAACTTTAAATGACTGACACTGACATATAACTTGCCAAACATGAAAATTAAGATATATACCCGCAACATATCATCTGCCAAGGTACCACGTCCTGGTCCCAGCTCAATAACTTGTATTTTATCTTTGTAGTGATTCATCCATTCATTGACAACCCAAACTCCCAGCATCTAAAAAGGCACACAACAGTTCAGATCTGTTACAAATCTTGATTAACTAAAATGCAGATGCAAAAACTAAATTTTTGAGATTCCAAAGATAGGTTGAATTTCAATTTTATTCTCCGATGAGTGCTGCTTAAAATAACTCAAATTCAAATACACAGCTGGTGATTACATGATAGTCTTTGACAATGTTTTGCTTGCATGTAAGTCACAGTGTGTAATGATTATATAGATCCTATTCTTTTATTCTTGTCTATAGATCTTATTCTTTTATTCTTGTCAGTGGTATAATGCTTGTGCTATGAATAATGCAGGGTTATACCTAACATTTATAAGTACTAGTATATAATAATAACATTGATATTATGTTTAATATTAATATTTTTAGATGAAGAGGACTGGTGCTAAAAGCTAAAGGAAGAAGACCATCATTGCCTACACTACTCTGAAGAGGACTTTTCTGGCTAGTGCTAAAGGAAGAAGACCATCATTGCCTACTCTGGTCATCACTAAGAAGTTACTTCACCAACTCTATTTTTTGAAAGCAGAATAGAACAACTCATCCGAGCAGGTAACTTTGAGCCTAACATTATTAGATTTAAAATGAAATTTTTGTAACTTGTTTAAACAAAGTCTAAGTCTAAAAAAAGTCTGAACATTGTTTTAGCTCAAAACCATTCTTCTAGGCTTTGTTTACATTAGGGACTTGTTTCATTCTTACTCTTTTCTTTAATTTTTAGGTAGGATAAATTTTTTTAATTTATTTGATACTTATCAACTATTTTTGTTGTACCTGATACTGATGAAGGCATTTGCTGAAACATTTGAATTTTTATTTTATGTACCGGTAACCATAATTATTGTTTTATTTACATAAACTTTACTTACAGAATAAAAATGTACCACTTATGAAGTTCACAAGTGAGTGGAAAATAGTTATCAACAGTTCCCTTTCAAGATTGGATTATGTACGTTGTGAGGATCAAGTTTTGGATTGCATAAGCCCTACCCAGACAATGTATGCTGGTTCAGTGCGAGAAGTTACTAATGAATTTACTATTAATTTATATGTTTTTTCTGCTGTTGATTCCATTTATAAGAGTCTTTGTTTGTTCTCTGTCTATGAAAGTGTAGACAGATGTCATTTAAAGAAGAAGATAGACAATTTCATGAATAGTTAACAAAAAATGAACTATCTAAATGTAAAACCAAAACTCCCAGAACTCTTAAAAAATTCATGAGTCATATATTTAAAGTTGACATTGTCACTAACCCTAACAAAAACAGAGATAAATATATATGGTAACTTTGTCATAAAAAGTGGATGAGCGTACATTAAAACAACAACAACATGCGTAAGACAATGCAAGATTATTTAGTGTAAGAGTTAATGAGCTAGAAATTGAAAAGATGCAGCTAAATTGCAGAAGAATTATATTAAATACCTTGAGGTTAAATTTAGAAAAACATTAAGAAAATTGAGCATTATCGGTATCACATTAAGAATTAAACGTCATGAATCAGAACTAAACATTGTTATTCAAATTCTTCAAATAGAATTCATATTTTGCAGTTCAGTTAGACCCACGCAGGGAGCAAGTGTTACTCAAGTGTTAAAATGCTTTGTATAGAAATGCAGGACAAATTTTGTTACCCGTTATCTATTTTCTTGAAGTTGATTTTTGGTTTGTTTTGGGGGTTTAAAAAAAAATGTGTTTATGCCTAGCCATGCTTGTAGTGTATATAAATAAATGTTATAGATAGGTACACTGACTGTTTAGCATAGGGTAATCTAGATATTGATCAAATTTTATTAATTGCAGCTGGAATATTAGAAATAATTAATCTAGTTTTTGAAAGAAATTTTTTGTCCAGGAAGTGAACCCTTGCTCATATCTAGCCATGTTTGTATTGTATCTAAATAAGTAATGGGTTCATTGACTGTTTAAATATGTAGAGCTATAGTTATTTTGTATTTTGGTATAATAAGTTTAACTGTGGGTGTAACAATTAATTTGTTGCAATTTTTTAAATATGACTGATTTTTTGCTTCACGTGAATTCATGCATTTTTCTAAAAAATGTATTCATTTTATATATACTTATGGATGCACAGGCTGTTTAAGCACATAGACCTTTAGTTCCCCTACATTTTGATATAATTATCATGTATGCTTTCTTATCGGTTAATTGTTTGTGATTTTTTAAAAATGTGCAAATATTGCGTTTCTTTACATCCTTTTTTTTCAAAATGATAGGAAATACCATTTTTATTACAATAAAATTTAATGAATTAATTATTTGTAACCTTTGAAAAAAATTAAGCCGGTTCTCTATATATGTGGGTATGTGTTTAGTGTAACTGAATGAGTATAAGCTATTAAGTTTTACAGATATAACCTTACGAAAATGGGAATTTTGATGCTCGTAAAAAAAATTTCCAAATATTAAATTTAAAAAATTCATAAATTTTTTACTAATTGAGTTATATGAACAAGTTTGGTATCCACATTCTTAGAATCATGAGTTCTTGACATGACAGTATAAAATAAAGCTGTAGGACTGTTTTGAAAAATCAGTTTGTGGTACCTAGTATTAATATAAATTTATTGGTACTTAAGTCAATGAGGCTTAACTACATACTTCTCCAAAGAGTTGGCTTATTTCTGGAGATGTTATGAAATCTCCCTCAGTACCAAAGACATCTCTGTGCATGTAGTAACCCTGTAGCAAAAAGATATTTGAGTGAAATAAACTTTAAAAAAAAAATTGATCATTAAATTGTTAATGTAACTTTTTTATTTAAATTAGATTCAAACATTATTTTTTGCATCATGAAATAATAATTGATAGGAAATTTAAATAATTTTGAGTTTTATTCAAAGCCATTTGAATTTGAAAATTTGCAACTGAGAAGGCAAATAAAATAAAATGTTTAAAGAAGTGTAATTTACTTAATTTTCTTTTGAATTTATAATTATTAATGAGGGTGATATTATTAACAGGTATATTATTTTTAAACTAGGTTGGTTCTTATAAAAGAACAACATACATACAGAATGGGCATTTGTTAAAACTTCCTTCATATACGATGCCACCGTCAGAGGGCCATAAATTTTGATCCGAGTCTTTATGTGTGTCAATAATATATTTTCTTTAGCATCTGTGCTGTATTTATGAAAATGGTATTCTAATGAACTTAACGGCAAAGATCCACAGGATAGACTCCTACAATGGCGCACACTGTGTAGATGTCTTGATGAGTAACTGCATGACTTTGACTTGTTCATGAGCAATGATGTTGCAGAATGATAAGAGATGAATGCATTTCGTGCAGTCTTTGCTAAATGTCCCAATAAACACAATTTTATTTTCATATTTGCTGGTGGCTTTATTGTAAAAAAAAAATGTAGGATTTGATTTACAAAACTGTAATTGACAGCTCTATCTGAAATGGACAAAAGTTTAAGCTAAAGTGAGGTCAAAAACTTTACACAATTGTACGATACATGCTCTCTAAGACAAGTCTAACACTCACAATGAAACATCTCTTATATAAATAATATATTATGCTTGTAGTGTGGCTGCTTCCTTATATTCCTATTCCTAACCGCCCCTCCCATACTCAACATGGTTTGGCTGTTTCAGATTCCCAAGCTGTTAAGTTGAACCCAGGTAGGAAGGTTACATTTTTTCAGAGGCGACTATTATATTAATAAACAAATGTAGGACTATCTGAAGGACTACCGGTATTTAAAAATTTTTTTTAAATACTGGCAGGTAGGGTGTTCAACTGTCTGTAGTCGACTATTGTTTAAAGACAGGCAGGTAGGGTGAAGGACTGGCTGTAGGGCCATTGTTTAAAGATGTAAACTCATTTTTGTAACACTTGGACCCACTAGGTATTTTGACCAGGTATTTTTTTCAAAATACCCGGACCCAAAAAAAAAACTTCACCCAGCTAAGCCCTATTCTACTAGTTCAACTAGTTATACATAATAATGTCATTGTCAACCTTATGACTTACGTCTTTGCGAGACTATGAGAGTAGCTATTGCCACTTATATTTATTGACTTCTCCTTTCTAGGCTTTCAACTTTATTTTACTGGCTAGCTGAGCAGTTGTGCCATGAATTATGAAAGTGAAAGTTAGTGAAACTCAGATGACACTGCAAACCTACTGATACAAAGACTGGCTTTAAAAAACTTATATGGATGGTAAAAAACAAAACAGTGATATTTTTAAAGTAGTTTACATCAATCCTTCCATTCAAATTCAAGTGGAAATTGTTTTCAAAGTTTAAAATAAATTAAGGTAAGCTACTCCATCCATACACTTAACAAATAACTTTTACAAAGGTTTTACTACATAACGAAATGTAGCATGATAAATCAAAGTTTTTCCTATCTGTAAATGGTGGTTGTTAAGCGTACAATTGAATTTAAAAATAAAATACAGGTCCCCAACGTCTCTGCCCTCAGTGCCGGATAAACTTTAGAGGGCAAATGGGACACGTGTCTTGGGACCCCATGTTTTTTAAAGTGTTCCATGCTTTTTAAGGGCCCCGCGAAATGGATCCATGTGATTTATTGGGGGAAAAAAAAGCTTGGGGGTGGGGGCTTGATTTTAACTTGAACTTACAAGTGATGTTGTAATAAATAGCGGGGCCTACTGTTGGACATCTCCATAAAAACAAGTTCTAGAATTAGGTATTCCCTAATATTAAGACCGTCATAAACGCAATAATTTTTGGAGACAACAGGTATAAGCAATCAAAAATGTGAAACAAAAATAATTTTACGTTTTGCATTTGTGATACCGAGAGTGAATAATTCACAAGAGTTAATTAGCAGCAATGAATTTTAAATTAACAATTTAATTTAAGAAATAAATAACTTTGTAGGTAGACTGAAGGAGAGAGAGGGGCAAAGCAAGAGAGAGTGAGAGATGGGTGGGAAGCAATCTTCACCAAGTTTAAATTTAAGTGCTGCTTAGACTATGATGAACAGTAAAATTATGCTGGTCATTTAATTACTCATAAAAAATTAAATGGCAGCTCTTGCAGCAGGTTTATGCATTATGAGAAGGTTTTTAAAATTTTATGGATGACCTCTTCCTGCCTTCTTAATAATTTAATGAAGAGATAGTAAAGTTATAAAAAATTAAAATGACCAACTATATTATGTTATATTGTCATTGTGACATGATGTGTGACCGAAGATTACCGATACTTAAATAAATGTATGTGAGTTCACTAACTTAAACTATTTATTTTTAAAATTAGTAATATTGGCATTGGTGTTGTCAGCCCCAGTTGCTATATTGGCATGTTTAATGTTAGGTACCGGTACTAGTACTACGGTAGTCTATAATATTAATTAATATGGTAATCCCTTATTTTAGCGCGATTAGTTATTTCTAGTGAAATAAATTAAAAACACCCAAAACTTATTTTTTATGGCTTATGGAACTACATTTAAGGTATAAAGTAAAATAACATTTATTTGTTGCAATACAACAATTTAACAAATTTACTAGATCAAAAACTCTTTTGGCTTCAAAGGTACGTAATAAAAGTTGCCCAATTGGATGTATTTATATTTAAATTTAAATAAATGTATTTTTTATATAACTTAAATTAAGTCTAGATGTCTAATATTAAACCAGGGCTGGGTTTAGAAAAGTTTAAATATTTAAGTATCTCATGTTCTAGGCATCTTTGAATATGTAGGGTCATTCATGCAGGACGGGGAAAGGTGGTACTCGGTGATATAGGGGCGTCAATATCAGGGGGCGCATATTTCTATAGGGGCTGTGCCCATTACGCACGTAACGCTTCTAGATTTTAGTGTGTGGGTGGGGGTTATGTGGGAATATGTTAAAATTAAAATATTTGCTGATGAGTCGTCCGGTGACTGATGACTTGCACGGGTGAATTTTGTTTAAAGTGAGGAAGAGTTGCGCGGCATCCGGGCCCACCATATCCAGTGGCAAGACTTCATCAAGACGACCAGGGATGGGAACGGTTGCAGGAATTGTCATTGTATGGGCCTTACGTTTGATTTCAGAGTCTCCTACCCTTAGATGAGTTGCCGACGAAGGTTAATGAGTGATGTTTTTTGGCTGGATTTGATCTCCAGACCAGTCACCCAATTATATAAAATCAATAACAATGTCTCTCATTTTACTCATCACAAATCAGAGTCAACTTAGGTGTCACCTAAATAATTAAGTCCCTCCTATCGATTTTGAATTGACCAAACACAGATATTTAAACACATTTTTTTTTGCCTTCTATGAGATGACACACAACTGCAAAGAAAAAGTGGATACACGTTGGAACGAGTTGGGACTAAGACGATTTTTTTGGTATGCACAGTGGTCGTCTCCGATGCTCATTGCAGACTGTGTGTGTATCCCCAAAATAGGCAGACGTGAGTTTGGACTAGGCAATGGGACTTAGCCACTAGGCAAATTTTTCCGTAGGTTCAGTTGGCTATGTGCTCACTTGTACCCTGTGGTCACTTGTCTGTCTGGTCACTTGTCTTCTGTGCGTTCAATTGTCAGTGGGTTCACTTTTCATGCGTTCAGTTGTCTGGGAAGCATTCACTGCATTGGTCGGAAATCAATGTGTAGTATACCCGCGGGACGTCATTTGAGCGTCACCCACCACTGAATTTGTATTTTTTAATTCGTATGTACTGTGGTACCTCCAGTAATATACAACTCAACAAGCTTCCCAAGTTTTGGTTTTTCCCCCATCCCCTTAAAAAAAATACACCCTGAAATGACGTTTTTACACCCCCCCCCCAGGCATCAAGGAGACATCCATATATTCCCACGCACTGAGGGGAAGGGACACAATGCCGAGTATCAGTGTCAGTATATTAAAGCCATCTGCAAAAGAGTGTTACTTAATGTACACAGTTGGAAATCCATTAGAAAAGAGAAGAAACACTGGAGGTATAATCAGTATAAACTTTAAGTTAAAGTTGTTTTTTTTAAAGTACCTTGTTTCTAGTACAAAAATGTATTAGAGTATGTGTAGGGGGTAGTGATGGGAAGGGCTAAGGTTAAACACCAGTTAATAAAGTTATGAACACCACTGTAAGCTCATGCCTAAGGATCTTAATGATCTTTCATTTTATATTTATTTTAACCGAATGTTTATTGCTTTTGATCTGAGAATGGGAAAAATTGAAAAGAAATCTGGCCACACATCTGCTAAAAAACATAAACAAACTGATCGATTATCTGATTTTTAAAAACACGTTTTATATTAAAATTTCCCTTTAAAACCACCAAAAATACATGGGGAACAAATTTTTATTAAATAAATACATGTTAAAGTAACCACTGAAGATTTTTAATGTAGTTTCATGAGGCATGAGGTAAATAGAATTACATAATTTTTAATTAAAATATACATTTTTAATTAGAAATTCCTCGCCTCAATAAATCTTTTGAATTTTAAAGGAAATGGACTTAATATTTAATATATATATATATATATATTATTTTATATTATTATTATTTGGTTTTGTTTTGTTTTGTTGCTGTTGTTTTTTTTGTTTTTTTGTATATCTCAGCCTTACGACATTTTCTAAATTTCTTTTCTAGAGAATAGCTTTTTATTATTATTTTTTTTTTTTTGGAGGTAGATCTAATCCTGTTTAGCCTTGACCCAAAAAGGTTATGACCGATACAAGCCACCTTGTCTCCCAGTGAACAGAAGTCAGCTTTTATTAAAAACAACAAACTCATTTATTGAGGAAATGGAGTCGTCTTTGCACAGAGTAAGTCGATTTTTCTTTTACTTTCATTTAGAATTTAATGATAACCCATAGGTATATTATATAATCAACCCTAATTCAAATAAGTGGGTTAAAATTAAAATTGCTTGAAACTTATCACAGTGCAGTGTGAGTGTCTCATCTGACTTAAGTAAGTACGTCACTTACTCACCCTTGAGCCCTTGATCTAATATATACTTCAATAGTTGAATTTGAATAGATTTTGCTTATCACATCACATTCACATCCTTTATTGGCAGTGTTTGAGTGTGAAAAATGACATTAACTAAACATTGAGTTTACAAATTACAATTACATGATATGATAAATAATAAATGTCATATATTAGTATAGGATAGGCTAAAATACTGTAGCAGTGAATATAATGCACAATATGGTGTGTGAGTGTGACAATTAAAATGTATAGTCAGAGGACGAAGAGAATCACCAAAACTTCTTTAAAAAAAAATTTATTTCTAAACTAATTGTGCAATTTGAAGTCTTAAGCCTAAGCTGCTAATAAATAGTATACAGTATACAAGCGACCACTTTGACTTGCTAAAATTAATAATTAAGCGCAGCATGGCGACTACAGCTAATTTAAGAAGTAAATAAGGTAAATACAGTAACAAACTTTTGACTAGACCCTGGCCATTTTGTAGCACAATATTAGTATAAGTATAGCAAATCCAAATTTTCTTTCTTATGACTTATGATGTGACTAAGTTTGTTGTTATTCTTTTAACATGCTCAAAAACTGATGATATTGTTATGCTTTAAAAAATCATTCATTTGTAATGGAATATATAAACTATGAAATTTATGTCATGTCTTATTTTAAATGCATGATATTAACATGGGCTATTACTATTTTTGATTTTGATTTGAAATTCACTTGAACTTCTTAATAATTCAATGATTGATGAAGTTTTGTTACAAGAAGTTTATAATTTATTCATACTTGAACATCCACAAGATATTGCCCCAATTGCTGTTGTGTTTCCACTACTATGCATTTCATCAGATTTATGCTGAAAAAGCTTGTGTTCTGAAATAGATTTGAATTCACCTTACTTTTATGAAATTTGTAGCAATAACAAAAAGTTAAATCTATGCAATAAAAAATAGTTTTGAAAGTTAAATTCTTTCATACATACATCATTTTTCAAAAGATTATTTTTGACTGTGAGTATCACTTTTTGCACTTTTTCTTGATATAAATGTTGAAAATTAGTTTGTATTGTAAATATTTATGCAGTCTATTGTTCCAATATTTTTTTTAAAATATGGATTTTTTAGAATTTTTTTGAAATTTACTTTTTTAAAAATAAAATTATTGAAACAAGCTATGTTCCCTAAGAAAAAATTCTAGAAAATTTTAAGAGTAACACATTTTGTGTGCTCTTTTTTTGTGTGTCCATGACTTTTCCAATTGTGTTGATTTTTGCTTTTTAGTTGTTTTGTCTGGTACTTTTAAAAAAAATGTTTTTCCCGAACTTTGTTTCGTTTATTACCTTGTACCTAACCTCATTGCAGTCTCTCCCCCTTATAATAATTATGGCTTATCTGGTTTTTATGGCTTCAATAATTGACTTTATCAGGACCTACCAGGAAATAGAAATTTACAAATAAAATATCACTACAGTTCCATCTAAAACTTTACAAAAAATTGTTTTTTTTCAATAAGGCTAAAGTTTGGTTTTCCTTGGTATTTAAAAAAAATTGGTTTACCATTTACCTTTGGGGTCATCTCTAACTCTAGGACTTACTTAAAGATGTATGAGAAGCCCTTGCCTGTATCTTCATAAAGGGGCAGAGTCATTCACTTGCTCACACCATTTTTTTACCGACACAATTAACACATTTGTGGAGTATGCAATCTAAACATCTCGACCTGGAAGTGGTAAGATGCATAACAACACAGACTGAGCCTAAGTATTTGAGGGCAAATGAAAGAGTAATCCATGACTCCAAACCTATGACTACGGTATGTTGCATTGGTGTTATAAAAAGTTGTGTTCATGAATCATGCTTTCAAAATGTTTTATTTTATTTTATTTTTATCTCACCACACCCATTTTATAGGCATCTTTACCACTCCCACCCCTTTCATTTTTGAAGTACAACATATACCTGCCCAGAATTCTCTTTTTTTATGCACTGTATTGTAATTGTGGAAGTTTTGAACATAAATTGGAATACCAAAATTGCTGTCGATAATGTTCACTTAAAAATGTTTCCATGTTAGCATATGAAAAAAAATTGTTTGAACACCACATATAAGCATATTAAAAAAAGCTAATAAAAAAAAAAAACAGGGCCAGATAGAATTAATTTGAATGTAATATCCAGATGGATATGCTTCTATTTTATTGATAGTATTTACTTATATTTTAGAGTGCTAAAATTCATTTATATTAATATATAAGGATATAATATTCCTCTTATTATAGCTTTGGCCATGCTAAAAAAGTTAATTCATATGTTCTGAATTGCTGCTTATCATTGTAGCAGTTAATTGAAACAGACTGGGGCCATAGCGGGGGGGGGGGGTCAGAGCCTACTGTGGTGACTTAACATTTTTACTTTGTTTCTTGTTGCTGGGGAGGTGGGGGAGAGAGAGAGGTGGAGAGGGTTAACCTTAACATGTTTTATTTATATGGTCTCTATAATGAAAAAAAAAAAATTCTTCAGTGGTGTGGAAGAGTACCACCCCCTGATCTTTAGAATAATTTTATACCCTTTTGAGAAATCTGAACATTGAATATTGCACACTCGTAATGTTCGTGTTTGGCTTAGTAGTAATATATGATAGCTAGATGTTGTATGGGTCTGTTACCTGTGCAAAGCTGAAGTGGGTGTACAATGAACCGACATGATTTGTTGGAAATTCTTGACCTTCTTGCTGGAAATTAATATTTGCGTTACCTCTGGTACAAGGCCTGCAGATTGTGAATTTCAGCTCAGACCCCAGGTTTTACTCTCAGAGCTCAGCTCATATAGTGTTCTTGGACATCCAGGTTTTACTCTCAGAGCTCAGCTCATATAGTGTTCTTGGACATCCAGGTTTTACTCTCAGAGCTCAGCTCATATAGTGCTTTTGGACATTGAGGTTTTTCTCTCATGCCCCAGCTCATAATTTGTCCTTTGGCATGAAGCTATTTGCTTGTTTGAAAATGAAAGAAAAATAAGTTTAAAAAAAATTAATTCATACTAACCACATAATATTTACCCCCACCCCAAATCTCAATGATCGTCCAGTGATTGTGTCTAACTAAATAATAAAAAAGAAAATTAATCTAATAAGAGGGAGTGTACCCTGTTTGCATTACTCTGCTCGTCAATTGAAATAGGGTCGTCCGTCTAATAAACAGAGTTGTCTATCTTGAGTCAGGTTATTCCCAATTCATGTAACCGGAATAAGACGAAAGGTTAAAAATAGAAACACTGAAGTAGACATGGAAACGGGGTGTGGGAACATTTTAAGCTCATGCACAGTTTTCTTTCTTATAATAGGTGTGGTGGAGGTTGGGGTTATGTAACCACATGCCCAAAGGGTGGGACTGGGCGGTGGCACTACCCAAAGTTACACGTAAGGGGGGGGGGGGGTGGCAGTCCCAAAAGCC